GAGAAAGGGTATTAAATCTTCTAGAGCAATTTTAATATATTGGCTGGGGCTGCTCCAGAACTTGACAAAATTATCTTTTACCATTGCTTTTATATGAGCTTGTAATGTTGAGGCTATTTGCTTTTATTTTTTTACTATTAGCATTTTGAAGACTTTTCTGAGGGATTTATTGGTGAAAGATAATTTTATAATATTCTCATATAAAGTTTTAGCCATTGAGATTAAATTTGTTGGGTGCCTGTTGTTTCTTATATCTTTGAAAACATTTTTTACTTGTTTTATGACCTTGTCTAATTTGGAAAAGAGTTTTTTTGGTTTGGTTGGGCATTATGCTTTTTTTTTTAAAATATTGTTTTCTAAAGCTTTTTTGATTAGCAACTTTAAAGCTGACCCTTTGGGTGAGGATCTAATTAAGATTGAGAGATATCACCTCTTCAAATACTTTAAGCTATTTGATTGTAGCATTATTAAATAAATAAATTTTGGTGAAGAAATAGATGTGTTGAGGTTTGTATTCGAACTATTGAAAGCAAACTTTGATACAACTAAGGTCAGTGTTAATAGGAGTAAGGTTGTTTACATTATAACTAAGAAGTTTGTTGGTAAGTCTAAGTATTAGCCATATCTGGTCTATCCTGAATGCACTAGTTAGTATTATGTATGTATAGTATATAGATGTTCCTTTGAAAATGCTTTAGTAGCATCAATAAAGTTTCAAAGGTATTTGTAGGCTTTTCTCCTTTTGTTGTTTATTGGAGCATTAGTCAATGGTATGCCAGGAGAGAATGTGTTGAAGTCTCCTGCAATTATGAATTCGTGATTAGGGTGGTCTTTGATAAACTTGTATAGGAAGGAGATAGCTGTGTTTCTCAATATATTGTTGTGTAAAAGATATAAAGTGATTACAATAACACTTAATTTTGGTTTGAATTTTAAATAGATGGCATATCAAAATTTATTTTCAAAATATATTGTAAAGATATGTGGTAAGAGCAACTTGGATATGACAATACAGGTTTCATTGCTAGGGGATAATATTGGTTTACTGGTAATGATTATGTAATTATCTACTCTATTAGGGAGGGGATGTTTTATGGTATATTTTGTTTCAATGCAAATGGTAATGTCTTTTGAGTTGAGGAGGGAGTTGATTAGACATGATAGTTTTCCAACTTGATTTAGGCTTTGATATTGAGAACTGATATTGTCAAGAGGTTTTTGATATTGTTATCTTTTTTTTTCTTTTTGTAAGGGTATAGGTATTATATTGAAGCAGTTCGTAACATCAAAGGAATTATTAAGATTTGAGTCTGGTTTACTGTTCATGTCAGTAGAGATTTGATATCAAGGTTACATCAGGTTCTGGCAGCTCTATTTCTGTGATAAAGTTTTGGGTGAGTTTGTTGAAATAGAAATATTGTTTGAGAGTAGAAATATTTGTTGATAAATCTATGTCATCATTGAGAGGTAATTGAAGGGTGATATCTTTTTGCTTTAAGTATTCTAAGGTTGCTTCAAGGATGGATAAATCAGATAGCAAAGAGATGATCCACTTTTGGGAGATGAAACCATGATAAAGTGTTTTAATGGTTTGGATAGTTTCTTGAAACTTCAAATTTTCTCTGTGTAGTACTTGTTGGGTGATGTTTAATTTATCTGCTATTTTGCTGAAATCCTTTGGCATTATTGGATGATCAATTTGAGTTAATAATGAATCTATCCACTCAGGACCAAGAGAAAATCTGAACTTATATCTGGGGTAAAGTTGTTGGAGCAACTCTGTTACCAACTCTTGGTTTTTGATTGGAAGGCTTATTCCAGTATTTTTACTGTGCCATGGGGCTGAGAAAGGAGAAGTTCTGGATGAAGTAATCATTATGAAGGAATCTAACTATAAAGTTATTGTCTCATAGTTCTTTGATTGTTGCTTTTACTATGTGAGGTTCATTGATAATTGGAAACATTATTACTAGGTCTTGTGATAACATTTAGTAGGTATCAGTAATAGCTTCTTGGGTGGAGCCAGGTCAAAGTAACTCTCAGAAAGTTTATTGGAAACATAGAAGCTGTTACGGAGCTTTCTGAATATTAAACCCAGGGATTTGAGTTGCTTTTGTTCTTTGATAGGAAAGATTTCATGACATTTTTCTGGAAGTTTATCCAGGTAACTAGGAATTTCAAGGAGTTTTACAAAGTAATTGGGAGACAGAAGGTCAAAGTTATAGAAACTTTTTAGGATGTTCACCATAAGACCCATTTGACTTAAAAATTGGATCAGTAAGACGTGTGAAAGTTTGATTTTTACTTTTATTGGAACTTTACTTGGATATTCTGATAAATTTGAAAGATTATCTTTGATTATTTTTTCCATTGCTTGTAGAAGCTCTTTGTAATTCATTTTTTCCTTTATTGGATCCATAAAGAAGTTGAATTCATATTCTAGAAGTTTAGCCACTTGCCAAAATTTGAATATGAAAAAATCATGAGTTCAAAGAAATATAAAGATAAATGTATTTAAAATGATTTTGATTTTCTTTTTTGTTGTTTGGTTAATATAGCCAATATTATTATGGAATTTTTTTTTGATTGTTTCATATTTCACTTGATGTTTTCCCTTGATAACTTCAGTTTTTGCAAAAGATCAAAAAAATGCTTTATATTGATACACAATCTTTATTAGGATAGCTTTGATGGTAGTTGGTGAGAGAATCTGAAGAAAAGTTTTAAGTTTGATAAACAGTAATACTATGGCTTTTAAATTTCTTTCACAGAATATAATGCTATTATAGAATTCTTTAATGGCTTCTTATTTTGTTATGGATAGGCTCTCTTGAGCTGGAGGACTTTCTTCTATAGGCTGGGCCTCTGGTGACTGTATATCTGTGATAATAGGAGGCAAGTTATCCCTGGAGACTTATTGAATTTTTTTCCTATCTATCTGGTCTACCCATGATTGGATATTGATCGCATCATCAGAAAGGCTCATTGTATCATTTGTGTAATGCTTATCTATTTCCATGTCTGGCTGGTCTATGGAGTCTGTATTATAAGGTAATTTGTGTGTCAATTCATATTAGAGGAAGGTTTCCTTGAGAATTTTCTGTTATACAAGAAGAATTGTCTTATGCTACTGAAGTATTGGAAGAGAGGTCGGTGATTCCTTTTTTTTTTGAGAGAGAAAGTATCAAGGTTATCATTGGTGAAGATAGAGATTCAGTTTCAAGACCAATGAAGCTTGTAATTTAAGATATTTTTGACCACTTCCTGAATAGCAAGCTCTCTATCATCTTTTTCAAGATGAAATCTTGTTTGATGGTTTATGAAAACATTTAGTGTTTCGATGTCAAGATGTTTTATTTTTTGGACAGAAATATGAAGAGAATAAGGGGATACTCTTGTATGTTTCTTGATGAAATTAATCTGGATAATTTTAATATTATCAGAATTGGTTTTGCAGGTGAGAATGAGTTATGATTCAGGATAGTTTAGGAGAAGTGGAACAGTAGTTTCATTAATAGGCTTTGTTAAAAATACTTTTGAAGTTTTAGTTTGTTTGTATATTATTGAAACTTTTGGAGTTGAAATGTCTGAAAGAACAATATCTAGTATTAAGAACTTGTCTTGAGACTTGAAGAGATTCCTGAAAGGAGCCCCAATCACTTTGGCTTTGTTTCTAGTTAAAATTTTGGTTTATTGCCTTATAAGGAAATTTTTGCAATTGGAAACTTTTGCAAAAAGAGTTTTTTTTTTTAAAACCATATGATCTTATCAAATGTTTGAGAAAATAGAATTTAATAAAAATTGGTTTAAAGTAATAAAGGAACTTCAAACAAATCCATTTCATATTGATGATGTGATTGGTCCTTGAGGGGCCCTAGGGGTGAATAGAGTTTGCCAAACTTTTCATAATATAATAATTGTATTAAAATATTTATCAATCAAATTTGAGTTTGCCAAACTTTTATTAGTTGTAATTTCGACCAATATTAGATTTGTAATTTTGGTAAAATTAAGATTTGTGATTCCGGCTGGCATTAAATTTACAATTTCGGCTGGCATTAAATTATAATTTTGGTTGACATTAAACTATGGTTTCGGTAGAATTAAAATTATGGTTCTGGTCGACATTATAATTTTTCGTTATAATCACATTTACCTCTGATATATCACAATGATTATCGTACCACCTATATCGCATATTAGCCAGATTAAATATATTATAAGAACATAATAACTGATATTATTTTTAATAAAAAATATGAATTAAAGAGACAAAAAAAAAAAAAAAAAGAAAAAAATTATACAAAATTATTAAAGAATAGATTTGTTAAGATATTAAATAGTTGGGTTTTAAATTACTGACAAAACTTGAAATAATATACTATATAGTAATAATCTGTAAGTAATAATTACACTAATAGATTAATCCAAATAAATAAATAAATAAAATATCATTTCTTAAGTTACATCTAAAAAATTGATTTTTCTAACATGTAAAAGTCACACATTTTTGTAAATATCTAATGTATATACAATAAAGATATACTATGTTGATCTGACTGAATTAAAAAAAAAAAATCTTAAAAAAATTTATTAATAAATAGATTACAAAAAGTGATAAACACACAAGTTTTTAATTTATTAAATAAAACTTTGAAAGATTTATAATAATGAACTTTATTGTTAAAGAATAATTCATATTATTAAGAAAGCAAAACATCATTTTTTAAGTTGCATCTAGAAAAGTTAAACTTCAATAATAGATTAGTTAATAAGTGAAAGTTACAATAAAGAAAAAACCATATTAGTTTAATGACGGATTAAAAAAAAATAATTATAATCAAATTATTGATTCAATTTTTACTAATAAATAAAAGTATTTAATTGATTTTTAAAAAAAGAACTTAAAATTCAATTTATTTGTCATTATTTCTAATAATAAAGTCAAACAAAATAAATAAAGCCTAGTATTTGGAGAGAGAAAAAAAAATACTCGGCATCTAGTTTATTCCAACTCCATTTTTTAAATGTTTTTGGTTAACCAAATAATCAACCAAAATCTAAAATAATGACACATGTAAATTAATATTAATGTTAATAATATTGTATAAATCTATGCGTTACCTTGACCCCTTCTTCTACTGCAATTTGGTCAGTACGAATATGAATTTCTGGAGATATAGGTGCTTCATAGGGGGCTGATATGCCAGTAAATTCTACGATGAATCCAATAAGAATTAGTTATTCAATAATGAGCAATAGAATAACAATAAGATTCTAAAATAGGAATACCTTTTATTTCACCAGCCTTGGCTTTTTTATATAATCCTTTTGGGTCGCGTTTTTCAACAACTTCGAGGGGTGCATCAACAAATACCTGGAATAACAGTGTAAGAATAAAGTAATATGCAAAAGAAATAGTTTATTATACTGCAAACCTCAACAAAGGGGATACCACTATCTTCGTGTAATTTTCTCGCGGCATCGCGGTCAGACCGATAGGGTGAGATGAAAGAAGTAATTGCGATTGCTGTAGAATCAGCGAAAAGTTTTGCAACCTATTTGAGAAAAAAATTAGCATTGTAATCATAAACAAGTATAGTCCATAAAAAGTATGCGCCTACCTCAGCAATTCTTCTAATGTTTTCTTCACGGTCTTTCGGACCAAAACCTAAATCCTTATTCAGACCAAACCTAATATTGTCACCGTCAAGTCTATAACTTGGCACACCTAAAGTTAACAATTGGTGTTCCAATGCGCTTGCCAAGGTGGACTTTCCCGATGCAGACAATCCGGTAAACCAGATTGTTAAACCTTTGTAACCCAGTAATTTTTCCCGCTCTTCGCGCGAAATATTACCTGCATGCCACGTTATATTCGTAGACATCCTTCTTCTGTGAGGAAGCCAGGATGATCAACAAAAAATGAGAAATGTATTGCTTGCAGATCATACTCGAAAGATACTGTATTTTCTAAGGGGGTTGCTTTTAAAGAATGAAGAATAAAATTTGTTAGATCCAAAACTAAATTATAGTCATTTAGTTTTTATCATATGAGCGAATTTAGTTTAAGCCAATCAAAATTTGAATTAAGCTAAATATTGTTTCGAACTCATCCTAAAACCGATTTATAAAGTATTTTGATTTAAAGAAGAGTATGTTTTCCTTTTTTTTTTTTTTTACTCTTTGTAAAAGTCGCAATTGGTATCAGACACGAGCTTATTTATTAAGGGTTAAATTAATATGGATGAATTAGTAAATTCTGAAAACATTGTATTGATTTTTTTGTAATATCTATAGCTGAGTACTATTCAAATCTAACAAACTATAAGAGTTTTTAAGTTTAATCTTGGAAATAATATTTTATTTTATAATAGACTTAGAATAAAGATATTTCCAGCAGATTATTATTGCCATCTATTCTATTAAGCCATTGAAATATAGAAAATTACAAAGTAAATAGGTTAAAGAAAGAAAATGAAGAATATTTAAAATTATATAAGTATGCATATACTGTATTTTAATTTCTATTTAATATTTTTATTTTTTATTCAACTTTTGAAAACTCTTTCTGCTAATTCTCTGATCATGCATAAAAAAGATGTTTGCAAGAAGTTTTTACTTCTTTGTCAATAAAATTTTAATACTTTCATTTAAACAACTTGAAATTTGACTTCAAGAGTCATATCTACTATTTTTTTATTGTTTACAAACTTTTTTATCTAAAACCATGACTTCTGATAACTAAAAAAAATCAAGTAATACCATTGATATCAATGGTAAAAAAGTTTTTAAAGAAAAAAAAACTGACTATAAAGTATTTAAAGATGTTTTTAATCCTTAAAAAAAAAATTTATATAGATTTTCTATAATAAAAAAGATCTTATTGATTATATTTATATATCTATATTATTGATAATTAAAAAAAGTGGTTTGGAAATATTTGCTTTTCAAAAGTTTAAATCTTTTAAAAAAAATATTTATGATATTAAAAAACTAATAAATGAATAATATAGATTACAAATTTTCATTTTTTTTCTAAGTTTTTTAGATAATAGACAAAAGTTAAGATTTGAATATTTTTCTTGAGAAATTTTAATCTAATATTTACTTAAATAAAAAATTAATTAAATTAATTTTTTTAATATTATAGGTAACAACAAAGAAAATTTCTATTCTAAATATAGATCACTGATAAATAAGTAAAAAAAAAAATACTTAAAATATAGTTATATAACAGCATAAAACCTATTATGTAATATAGCATCTATAGTAGTAAATATGAATAGAGCTTATTACATATTGAGAACAGTAGATAAAATAGAAGAAGATATAATTAATATATTAGTCAAACTTTTAAAAACATATGACAAGTACTCAAAACTTTAAATCTCCTAACAATTGTTATAAAAAGAGGAATTGAATTTAAAAAAGAAATTGTAGTAATACCAGAAGTATATACTGATATAGTAATATTATTGCTAAGATACTAGGAGTTAATAAAATAATATTTTATAAAGAATAGATTTTAGTACAATACATTTTATATCTTTAACAACTTGAAAAAAAAAATAAAGATTTTTTACAACTTTATATAGAAGATGAATTTTTGAAAATTATTAAAAATCCAAAAGGTTTATATAGACTTAAATATTAATTAATGGAAATTGTTGAATAGATAGATATATACTAACAATAAACAATAAAGTTATAATAATATGTATTAAGAAACAAGAAGGAATAGAATTATAATAACTTTAAAAAAAAAATCAAAAGTCATTATAGTAGTGAATATAATTTATATACTGTATAACTAGAAATAGAAATCTAGCTTCACTAATAAATTTATATCATATAAAGAAAAAGAAAACTTATAAATTAAAAGCAATTATAGCTAATATTTTTTAAGAAATAGAAAAAAAAACCAAGACATATCTGAGTAATATTCTGAAATTTTCATAAACAAAAAGAAAATTCTTAAAAATTTTTAAAAAAAGAATTTATCAATAAAAATAAGTGACTAATCTTTTGGGTACAAGAGTAAAAATATGTCCTAAAATATATATAAGTGACAAATTAAATAGAAGATAACTTTACTATATTAGTTAAAAAATATTTATTCAATATAATACCACTTATATAAAATTCATCATAAAAATAAACAATTCAATATATTAATAATATAAATAAATCATTAATCAATTTTTACAATATAATTTAGTATTATTTATCATATAATTTATACAATTTTTACTATATATTTTTAAATTTTTTTTTTAAAAAATTGTTAGACATTTGTCAAAATTCATATATTTATCAAATTTTTAATTATATATTATATTTATAATTTAAAGAAATTATAGTTAAATATTCATAAGAGTTTTGTCGATTTGAGATTTTATATTTAAATGAAATAAATCAACCAAAAATATTAATAAATAAAAATTATGTATTCACATTTAACTGGATAAAATTCAATATTCCACAATTTAACATTCATATTATTTTCAGATCTAAAATAAAATCTATTTTTTGTCAAATTAATTAGTTTGTATCACTGAATAAAGACCAATGGATATTCAATAATATTATTTAAAAGTTTATCAAATGTATAAAGAAGAATTAAAATTATCTCAAATATAAATCAATACTTCTATTATAATTAATTCATAAACAGAGCTAATATACTCTAAATGAGTCTTTAATATTTTGAGAGAACATAGTAAAATTGAATATTTCACTTTTAATTTGACATCTATTATATTGATTTACTTTATTCTAAATAATTATTGAATTGTTATTATCTTTTGTAAATAGCCTTCAAAAGTCTATGGTTTCATAATATGCTTTATAGTATTCAATTAATAAATCTAATATTTCAGTAGATACCTCTAAATTTAATTTTTAAATATCAGAGTTCACTTGAAAATGTTTAGATTTATTGATAATTGTTTTATGAATATTATATATATTATTTAAAAATCAATATAATTCATCAACTGAAAACTTATCTATTTCAGAAATTGAATTAATATTTGATTAATTATTTAAAATTTCAAGCTTCTGATTATTAAAATAAGAATATTTAGATTAATAATTTAATAATTATTTATTAATTTTCACATTAATTTGGATTCAATATTTTAATAATTATTAAGCAATGAATCTAGATTAAAAATTCATTAAAATTCTACTTCTGGGTATCAAATTTGATTAAAAACCTACCTAATATCATTTATTTTCTCAAATAAAAAGTATTAAAATGCATACAATGGTTCCTAATCATATATATATTTATATAAATGTAATAAAAGATAAAGATTTAGAGTAATTTTTTCTTTCTGATATTTTTGTTTTATTAGTTTAATTATTGCAACTAATCTTTTGTAAGTTTTATTTAATAAATTTTGTTTTAAAATTTGGTATACTAAGATTTAACAAATCTTGATAAAATTCATTAAAATTTGGCCATTCATATTTGAAAGATATTTTTATAAAATAATAATTGCTTATATTGTAAAAAAATTTTTTTACTAATTGATAATAAAGTTAAAAATTCTTTATCACTATTTACTTTTATTAAAATTTGAACAATATGTGATATCTCTTAAAACATTTTCATAATTGATTATACTTTATCTAATATATTATTTATCAATATCTCTTTTTTAATTTCTATTTATTTAACAAGCCATTTACCAATACTTAAGAAAAAACAATGTATAGAATTAATAACTAAATATTAAATAGTATCAAAATAAGATAGATATAGAAATTCAAATCATTTGACATAATTCTTACTGAAAAATATTTTTATATTATAGTTAAGTTACAATACCTCTATTTGATAGTTGTTAAATTTCTCAATATAAACCATTTGTTTATATTTTTTATATTATCAAAATTGTAATAGTTATTTTTATAATTGATATTTTCCTTGTAATAATAACATATAACTAGTACTAAAATGTGTCTACACACTTTTAATGCTATAGAAATATTATATGAAATTAAAATTAAGGCTGTTTGAATTATTTTTTTCTCTTTATTTTTAATAATTGAATTGAATTTTATTTTTTATTATAGTTGTATTAATCTACTGACAATTGGAGAAAGATAATGATTTATTTGATGTAAACTTGATTCACTAGGACCTGATAATATATCAAGAATCAATATATTTTCATGCTTAAATTATATTTTGTATGACAAATTTGCAATAACCATATATATAACCCTAATACCATATACTTTATTATCTAATAATTGAAACCAATCAATATTTAGTACCAATCACAAATATAAATAATTTATCTTTTTCTAAAAAATAATTTTGAATTTTAATCTTTAAAAGTTTTCTAAATATCACTATTATAAATATCATATAGAAGTTTTTTAATACTTAATTGATTTACCCAATATCAAAGGTTAAATTCAAAATTTGAATTTTAATATATTTGTAATAATTAATAACAAATAGTAGAATATAGAAAAAACTAAATTGGATTAATTAATTATATTTTTATTTAATAATTCTGATTGTATAGATAGTAAAGAATCACAAGTTTTTTTTATTTATTATTAAATTAAAAACATAATTTAAATATACTTTATAATCAATAGTTAATTGTTTTTTTGTAAACCAAAAACATTATTTTGTTTGTAAAATTTGTAATATTTTTAATATACTATAAAACTAATGAATTGATCTAATATATAATTATTTTATATAAATTTTATTATAAATTATGAACTATAGAATTTGATTTAATTTATTAAATAATGTGATAGATGCACTGTTAAAATTTATGAAATTAGTGCTAATTAAAATTGATAATAAAGAATTTATGGATCTTTGTATACCATAAACATCATACTTTAATTAAGA